GCGAAACACATTTCGAACCGAACACTGATTTTGGTAATAAAATTCAATGATTTGCAAGCGTTGCTCGTTAGTAAGTCTATTCATGATGAAATTTCAAAGCATACTGAGCATCTTTCTCTTTGACACCATGTCTGAAATCCCACGTGATCTGTCAAATACTAATGCATGAAAATCCTAACCTCAAAAAAATCACCCGTTATTTATATAGTATATTTATATAGTATAGTATTATTATATTATGTATAATACATAGGGTATTTATCAGAAATAAAAGAACAATTAAAATAAATTTTTTTTGTAAATTTTTCGAACAATTTTTTTTTTTTTTTGACTTTTGTTGAAAATTTGACCCAACAATTTTTTTCGGTGTAAATTTTTTTTCACTCATTCTGTTTGGGATTTCATTCTGACCAATCTGTAGAAGTTTCTCATCGATACAATTAAAATTACAGTTTAGGCAATATGATTTCCAAAAAATTCCGGTTTCGCAACACTGTGCGATTGTGTTTTCCAAAAAGCTCTTTTTCATTTAACAAGTAAAATTGGGCAAATTTGAACGTAATATTACCCTTTTATACTTTAATTTCTCTGAGTCTCTTCCTCTAGCCGAACAAGCCGATAGCCGCTTGGCTGTCAGTCAAGATCGCAATGTTTTGATTTTGGTAGATTCGCGTGATATTAAAGTCTGCGCATATGTTTTCTTATGGGTTCCGAGCGTCTTAACCTCAGTCGAATTACCCCTACCCCGGTACCCTCGTTTTTCAAAGAGCCATGAGTGTACCAGGTAATCGTGTTTTGGTTTATCCGATATGTCTCGGATATGCCTGCCCAGCTCTTCTTATTACTAAGATCAGTTTTAAATCCTTTGTAAAGCTGAACCTCGGATGCATGATATCCCTCGGTATTGCGATTCAGGGAACTTATTCGTAAGAATATCCAACTTCCCACGGCCAAGATACCGTGGCCCCGATATTCGTACCAGTCATCCGTAGTAAAGCTCTTTTCGCCTGAGTCTGTATGTGGATATGAAGAGGGGTAAGATCTAAGAGAACCTCCAAGGATGCGGTTGGACAGGTTCCCATGACATACGCATTCCAGCCTTTGTATCTTGGATAGCACCTTGATTGCTCCAAGTTGTGAAGTTCTATCGGCCCAAACGATGGCTCCATAAGCTATCATGGGTTTTACTATTGTCGTGTAGATCCATCTCAGTATCTTTGGTGTGCAGCCCCAACTCTTTCCTGCCATGGACCTACACGCCATAAATGAGCTTACAGCTTTCTTCGCAGTTTCTGCTACGTGTGCTTACCAGAGTTGTTTTTGGTCTAGTATTACTCCTAGGAATTTAACCTCTTTTTGGTAAATAATGTTGGTTCCATCTAGCCTTATAGCTTTTAGACTATCAAGTTTGTATTTCCTTGAGAATGGTACTATAGTGGTTTTTGCTGGATCTACATTCAGCCCCACTTTAGCGCACCATTTTTTGGTTACGCTCAGCCCTAGCTAGATTCTATCACACAGGGTGTTTTCGAATTTCCCCCTGCATATTATTACAATATCGTCATCGTACCCCTGGCAAGTCAGCCCAAGTTAGTTGAGCGGCCCGCCATATGTGCATGCTGGCGCGAATTCAGCGGATAGTTCAATAAGACCGTAGCCTTACATAGTTATCTACTACCTTTTCTATAGCTTTTAGCACAAAGTTAAATTGTTTCTATATTCTGACCACTCCCCGGTTCGTTTTTCTCGATTGAACAATCTCCGAACTTTGGTTCTAAGTTTACTTAAGCTGTTGTTCTACCAGGGTACATCCCTGGAGGAGCGTACCTTGCTTATAGGACAACTGTCTTCATATGCGTCAATGAGTAATTCATTAAAACGCTCTATAGCAAATTCCAGTTCTGTTTCGTTTCTGATCTTCTGACCCAGCCCAGGTTGGGCTACGTTCAGCCTCAGATTGCCTTTGAACTTCTCCCAGTCTGTCTTCCTGGGATTCCTCAAAACTCTATATATAGGAGCGGTCGCTTCAATGTCAAACCTAATTATTCTATGATCTGACATGGAGGGTTCATTGGATACTCTCCATTCTTTCACCAGCGCTTTCGTTGGAGTATTTCCTATGGTTATGTCTAGAACCTCTTAACTCGCACGGGTCACAAATGTTGGTATATTCCCAACATTAAAGATTTCTAATTTATTTCTAAAGATAAATTCAAGAAGGTACTCACCCCTTTGGTTGGTTTCACTGCTCCCCCATGCCTCGCTATGCGCATTTTCATCACACCCGAGTATCAGGGGTAGCTTCCTAGTTTCGCAGTACTTGACCAGTTTAGTGACAAGCTCTGGTGGAGCATGCATGTCATCTCCTGGGAAGTAGCCCGATGCAACTACGATGTCCTGGATGGTCCCGTTGATGCTGACTGGGACCTGAACCGCTACTAGATCCCTCGACAGGAAATCTGAAAGACATATATGTTTCAAGCTATTAGTTATGAACAACCACTCCCTAGGATTTGTGCACCAAATTACCTGCCTGTTCTCTACTGCTAACCCTCTTATTTGGCCCCTGACGATCCAGCGTTCATGTACCAGCACTATTCCTAGTGTAGACTTGAGGGTTGCCCTAGCGATAACCGCAGACGCGGCCCTCGCATGGTGTAGGTTTATTTGTGCAACCTTAGTGCTGGTCATCTTCGCAGCTAATGGCGTTCTTCTTCTTCATCCGTTGTCAGGGTTTCGTCAAGGTGTCTCTGTCCGAGTCGTCATCAGCACAAATGGTCATTAGGCCGAGATCAAAGTCGTCGATACCCTCGATCTCGTGAGGTAGAAGACTAACTTCCTCTACTACCGCGCTTCTGGCTGATTCCACAGCAACCATCTCAGCCACCTCCTCCGGTATTCCAGGAACACCCGGTGAAGTATTCGGCTTGGTCACCTTCGCCTTCGGTTCCCTGCCCTTGCGCACATGCACTGGAACACTACCAAATCTGTATCGTAGGATACAGTTTTTCTTCTTGATAGCTTCCAACGACCGGTCGTCTATCCCGATCGTCAGCAGATTACCCGTTTTCTCATCATTGCTCCTGTATACCTTCCATAGGTCGGTATGCATTCCCTCATTTTGGGCTATAAAGAGGTTCAATAGTTTCTGCGTGTCCACTCCTCCAGCTTTACGTAGGTACGGAGTGATCACGTGCACCCTGGGTATGTTGTCCCCATCGCACATAGTCAGTTCCGCGCCCTCCCAATCAGGCAGTTGTGGAACAGTTAAGCGCAGCCATTCGGCTGATTCTGCATCCAAGCAGTCGACCAGTATAAGGCCTGGCCGAAAGTGGATGCCGTCGGATTGGAGTATTGACCTCCAACCCTTACCCATCTCCTCCACAAAGGCGTCCTCAATCTTTCCCTCATCCTCACGAGTGACTGTGCTTTCAGCGAAAGCCTTCGGCAGAACAGCCAGTCTAATACGCTTAGTGGGGCTAGCATAGGTAACACCAGGCTTCCTGGCCCCTGCCTTGGGTTTTGGGGCCACTGCTTCGAGACGTCTCCTCTTCTTCTCTGGCTTCCCTTCCGGAGGACTAATTTCCCCGTCCAGGACTTTCTTATTCTCCGGATTACCTTTCGGAGCACTAATCTCCCCAGCGCCCCGTGCGCTGTCACTGGTCTTCTCCCGGTCCAGAACCTTCTTTTTGGCCTCCTCAGGCGTTAAGCCTTTACTGATGTAGCGCATGTACCATTTGGCCCCTGCGCCACTCAAACCTTTGGCCTTCCTGACGTCCCCGAATTGTCTATACTGTCCGGTTTTCAGTCCAGCACTCGTCGAGGCCTGCGGTATGTCATCTTCGGCTGCCGAAGCATCCTAAGATCCCACCTGCCCCAGACTTTCCTTCGCCAGTGAGGGGGATGGGGTAGGATTAGGGATAGGGACGCGGTGATCTCGCATGGAAACTAGAGTGGCTAGTATCACACTTACCCAGCGGGCCAGGTTGATACAGCGGCATCAGGTCAATATACAAGATTCCGTCTTTTGAGGAAAATTCCATTAACTTGATTATATAAAAAATATATCACAATATGGGTGTCAAAAGAAGGAGATTTCACTTTCCAAAATATTTTCAAAAAGGTAGCCGCCTGTCTAAATGATTAAATTCGATTAAGCCTTTACGTACGTATACATAATAAGAAATATTTTGTTTGAAAATTTTAAGTTTGAAAGGGCTGTCACGTATTTAAAAGTTAAATACAATTCAAAATATTTAGCTAGTTCAATGAATTATTACAATATGGTTATGAATCGATATGTTTGGAGAAGTCTTTATTTCTAAACTACATGAAGGAAGGTTGCCACCTCTTTAAAAAGTCAAATTTAATTTCGGTTAAGCCTAAGAAACAAATGTTTATTAGTTGCATTGAGTTACGCAAAAATAGTGCCGAAAATCAGTCGATTGTGCTGAAGGTGCCGGCTGTTTCCGAAAGAGCCGAAAATGGCACAATGCACACTCATTTTCCATCACTGTCACACATACAATCTCACTATTCTGTTGACTTCGTTTTCCCCTTCCGATAACTTTTTGCTTCCGCGCTAGCCCAGCACCGCTGTGCAAAGCTTTGCACGCGCAGTCGCCCGCGACACATATGTGCTGATTTGGGCAACCCTAGGTTAAGGTAATGTGGTAATTGAAATACGTATCACAATACTTCTAACGTAGTAGAAATTTTATACACTCAGCGAAGCGGGTGAGGGAAAACTTTTCATAAATAAATTATCTGGTTTCCTTTTCTAGTTTGTAAACGGCCAATCGCTATCGAATGTGATGGCGAAAGAAAAACTAGCGGTTGAGAAAATTTAATGCCGGAAAAAGTTTTGTATTTCATTTCATGAATGTCTGAATGTCTGAATGGATTTTCTTTAATAAAAATAACTAGCCTAACTTTGTCGTAATCCCAAATTTAGTTTATGCTAACATTAAGAGTTTTCAGAAAGAATTAATTTCAAATTTTACACCAGATACTTTTCCAATTCGGTTAACGGAATGAAATCCACGTATCTTTAAGAAGGCTAATTTTCAATAAAGTACTGGGCCCGATAGTAAAGTGGCAGACGTTTTTTTGTAAGAGTGCCTGCCGAAGCGCGACGGCTATTTTCCTTCACTTACATAGATGCTCTGTCGGCTGATCAATAAACTTGCTTCAGCGAAAGGAGCAAGCAGCTCCGCCGTCCAAGATATGTCCATAAAGCTCTACTGTTCAGAGAAACTTTTCAACTATCTCGGGCCGACACTGCCTACATACCTAAAGGTGGTTGTCCTTTGATAGAAATGTCTATGCTCGAAAGTAAATAGCCTCTTTAGAGCCACTCGAAGTGGTTATTTATGTTCTATTTTGAAGGATTGAATAATCGTTTCAACCGGGGAAATAACCCTAAAAGTTCCCATCTCTTACTGTGGAATTATGCTGTTATATTTTTCCATCATGGCTTCAAACAACAATACATTTAATACATGTAAAAAATAGTAACATTCGATGAAATTCAAGTCAAGCCGATTTCAAGTCAAACCATCTAAATTATTTGTCTAACCGCAATCACAATTATTGAAATCTAATCACAGTTATTGAAACTCACTTCAATGACCACATATATTCAATTTCAGGTCCTTTTCAAGACCAAAGCGTAAACTTTGAAATCACAAAAGTTATTTGTATAATTAACAGTGTTCACCTTCACCACACCCATTTGCATTATGCAAATTTTCAATGAGTTACACTTTCGCTCAAAACTTCGCTTTCGGATAAAGTTATGCGCGACAAATACTCGAAGGTGGCCATACAAAGTGACTAAGCTATGTACATACATACATACATACATACATAAATATACTACAACAACACTGATAAGCAATTTCACTATCATCTTGAAGGTCACCTGCGCACACTTCATTCAACTCTTTGTACATTTTTTAGATGCTTGAAAAATTGGAACGATTTCCACGCTATTAAATAATCGCTTTGTGATGTGTTATTTTTTCTTTTCATTGTCAAACATAACCTGCCAGCTTCCTTTTAATGCCCTCCAACGACCGCCAAGACTCGGATGGCACTGTAATAGCGTTTTCTGTTACCTTTTTGCTGTAACTGTGTACATATATATGTATGTATGCTATAACCTGTGTCATTTGCACCTGCCACAGATGCTGCAAAATGCAAAGACTAACACTAAGAAAATGTAGAAACACCATGGTTTCAAGTTTAAATTTTGTACATAGAAAAACACTTTTAGTCAAAAAAAGTGAAGCATGGAAAATCGTATAAAAACTGAGTTAAAGTGATTATTTAAGAAAAGACACCAACAATAATGAATAGCGAACTATAACCGTACTAAAGGCGCTGATGAGTTATTCAGTGTGCACTTTATGAAGACAACAAAAAAATAAACAACAATAACATACGTTGAGTATTTGTTGGGGTTCGTCACTACTTATAACAATGGAAAATAATCTCACAAATTACTTCAAGATTCATTGCAAATCAACTGAATTATAAAGCGAGCGCAAAGAATTAGTAAATGTGGCGTGACGCTGACGATATGACCTTGGACTATAAAAAAATTGACGATTCACACTAGCAACAACAACAGATAACTAACTGAATTTAGTTATTTTCAGCAAACGACAGATGACAATAAAATTTGAGAAATATGTATTATACATACATACATACATGCTAAGTAGGTGATGAAAAAATAATTGGAAAAAGAAGAGGTGGCAATGTATATCAGCCAAGTATGAGCCATAGTTATGATAGAGCGATGATGTATGCAGTGCCGGATTTCGGATCTATTGGCCCCTAGACTGTTTCCGTGGAGCGGTCCCCCTGGGAGTACTAAGGCAAACCGCGGCCACGGGTCTCCTCCTGTTTTTAGTTTTTAAAAGCTGTAAACGTAGCCTAACCTTACAGGTAAAAATTACTGTTACAGGTAATTACTGTACAATTAAAGTACTTAAACCGTACATCATACGTAAAGTTTGTTCTTTTAGAGCGCATACATGGTTCCATAATAATGATTCCAATACCTTCATTTATGTATATTGTAACTATCAATATCTTATTAAGAGAAGTGTACATTTTTTTTATCTAAAACTAATAAAGTTAGAAGGACGAAATTCGAGGATGTGGTAGTTAACCTATTAGTCCTTGACAAATATTTTTTTCAAAAATAAATATTGGAAATATCCAAGGATATTCAAAGATAAAGTCTTAAAAGGGTATTTTCAATACTTATTCGTCCTGGTGCCCCCAAAAATTAATTTCTTTCTTTTCTACAGAATTTTTCCTTTTGATTGATGCCCATATTGTTATTTTACAATGCACCGAATCTTTTGAATTAATATTTTTATTCAATAATAAATAAATATTCTAGAAATTTCAAAGTCCTTTTAAAAAAAATCCTGACGTCAGAGAGAAAAACTAAAAACGCAGTTTTACTATATTTGGCCCCCAGTTTTGTGAATATATTGATTTTTTTCGTGTGTAAAATTGACTGTCGCACGGTGCTATCAAAACAAATTCTATGGGACTGAGAAATATTATTTTCTAATTTTTAGTCCATTTATAAAAGCGTGGTATATTAAACAGTTTATTTTTATTTTATTTTTCTACATTTTTTGCGATGTTGCTTTGGCCTGGGCTTGAACCCAGGCCCTGCAGTTTTATAACCCATTCAATTTTAGTATAACAAAGTGCCGGTTTGAAGTTGAATTTTTTTGCGGACGGTGTTATTATTTATGTTTTTAAGAAATTACGTCCGAAGGCGGTTTTTATCAGCTTCAGTTTCGAAAATGACCTTTCTGCTGAACTGTTGGTGACCGTGAGAGAAAGATACATTCTTAATGCAACTTCTACATTTAGGAAGCAATCTTTGACGTTATAATCAAAGAAAACTTTGTACATCCATATTTCTTTGCTAACTACTTCTTGATTTTTTTCATAGTCTGGTTGAAACTTTAAGCAACAATTTTTAAATTGTACTAGCGGTACCCGGGTGTGCTTCTCTACACCAAATATTGAAAAATGAATGAAAAATCCTGGAATTTTTCTATTTGAAATTTATTTTTTTTACTATATTGCAGCCATGTTTATACTTGATATTTATCCGAAGAAAAAATAAACACAGCACATCATAGCAACAATTTTTCACTATGTTTTCGATTTTTCATGTATCTGCTGTTGTACCATATACGTGGTTCATGTAACAGACATAAACTGTTATAGATCATGAACCGCTGGACCGAATTCGGGCACACTTCACATAACCCGTCTGCATATACCGTTTAAATTTGGTAGAATTCGTGCACTTATTTTTTTTATTTAAGATGGGAGGTGCCACGCCCCCTTTTCCAATACCGCTCATTTTTCTCCATGAGTATGGAATTATTTCATATGTCTCTATACCAATTTCCAGTAATCTACCACAAATATTTCAAATATACCAGAAGAAAATTGTTGTTAGTATGAGTGGTGCCACCCCCTTTTCCGAATTCGGGGAAACTTAAGACAAACCATCTTCATAATAACCCGACTACGCCGTATAAATTTGGTTGAAATCTTGCACTCATTTTTTATATGTAAGATAGGAGGTGCCACGCCCTCTTTTCCAATACCGCCCATTTTTCTCCATGAATATGAAATTATTTGATATACCTCTATACCAATTTCCAATACTCTACCACAAAT